AAAAATTGAACTAATAAAACAGCCGCCAACTGCGGCCCACTAGCGACCAGGCAGTGGGAATTCAAAAAAAAAAAAAATTTATTTTAAGTAAGTTAAATAAATTTAAATTAGATATATAAGCTTAAATAAATTTAAATCAAGTTTATTTAAATATATTTAAGTTTAAATAATCTAAAAAATTAATTTTTAAATTAATTTATTTAGTAATTATTTTTTTAATTATTTTTATTATTTTTAATTTTTATTATTTTTAAGTTTTATTTAATTTTTTGTTTTATGTTTTGTTATATTTTTTGTTATGTTTTTTATTTTCTTTTTTGTTGTATTGTTTTATTGTATTTTTGTTATATTGTTTTTGTTATATTTTATATTTTGTTTTTTTATTGTATTATTTTGTTGTAGCTTTTTATTTTGTATTTTTTTTATTTTATATCTTTTATTTTATTGTTTTTTTAGTTATTTTTTTATTTTATATTTTTATATTATTTTGTATATTTTTTGTTATAGATTTTTTAGTTTATATTTATTAGTATATGTTTTATTTAGTTTGTATTTTTTTGATTTATGTTATTTAATTAATGTTTTTTATTTGTTTTTTTATTTGTATTTTTTTTAGTTTATATTTTTTTAGTTTGTTTTTTTTTAGTTTATATTTTTTTAGTTTGTTTTTTTTTTAGTTTGTATTTTTTTTTAGTTTATATTTTTTAATTTGTGTTTTTTTTTAATTTGTATTTTGTATTTTATTTTTTTATATATTTTTTTGTTTTTTTATTTTTTTTTATTTTATTTTTTGTTTTTTTTGTTTGTATTTTTTTTATATTTTTTTGTTTATAATTTTTCGTAGTTTGTTTATTTTTTGGTTTTTTTTTGTTTAGTATGTTTTTTAGTTTGTATTTTTTTAATTTATTTTTTTAATTTATTATTTTTTAGTTTGTGTTTATTTAGATTGTATTTTTTTTAATTATATTTTTTTTAAATTTTGTTTTTATTTTGTTTATGTTTTTTTTAGTTTGTAATTTTTAGTTTATATGAATTTTTTTAGTTTTGTATTTTTAGTTTGTTTTTTTAATTTGTATTTTTAATTTGTATTTTTTTAATTTATATAAGGTAGGTATGTCTAATTTGGCGCAGTTAAATATATGTATAGTAAATATTCGCAGAATTGGCATAAAAGTTTACAAGTTTTTACTAAATTCGACACATATCGACTTAAAATAAATCTTTATTTATAAAAAAAAACTTTAAGTAAAAAAAAATTGATCTTTATCCGATTATGTATATTCTTTCGTAAATCAAGATTATCGAGAGATCGTCCTAAATTGGCGCACTGAAAAAAAAATTTAAAATTCTATTTTTTAAGTTTCATATTTTTAACACATTGCTTTTCCGCCTTTATACGCTCCATCTCATCCTTTTTTTGCTTTCGGGCCTCTTTTTTTTGTGCCTTTTCAGCCTCACGTGCGATTCGTTTTTGGGCGGCCATTTCTTTTTTACATTGCTTTTCGTTGGCTACTTTTTCGGCTTCTTCCTCCGCCTCCTTCAATTGTTGTAAGGACTTTTCGTTTATAAGAAGTTGAGAGAAGGGCATAGTCTTCCTTTTTTTTCTTTCTGGCAACCTTGGTTCGGATTGCTCTTCGTCAACTTCCAGATCTTTGGCCGATTTCAAATCATGTCGCAAGGGATATTTAAGCACTAACTTCAAAGAACTTGTACTAGGTCTTTTAAAGGTTTCAAGTTCTTCTTCTAATATTTCAACCTTTTTTTTTAGCAACTCGACTTTTAATGCTAGTTGTTCTTTTGTAGGGTCTAGTTCGATGGGGCATATATAACCTGAGTTCAACTCTGAAGATTGTGAAGATTGTGAAGACAAAGCTGATCGTTCTTGAACTTGTAAAGTACTGGGATCCCACAAATTATCTAAACCATGTACAATGTGTTATCACAATAGTTGGTAAGTTTTGTAACAGTATTTTTTTTTTTTACATACAGTAAATTATGGTAGAAATTATGAGAATTCGAATACAAACTAACCTCTTCGTTCTGTTGTCAATGAGGGACCCAGACGATCTGGACTAATGGCATTGGGATTGAATGGCCAAATTTCAGTAGACTTGAAGGTATTACATATAGCGGTAGGTGTATAGGTTGTAATATAGGCTGGCCCTAATGCCTCAGCGAACGTATGCTTTGTCACAAGCTTACCCCCATAATTAACTCGAAACTTTTCACATTCATTATCATACATTTTTTTTAGTGTAGCAAATGGTAATTCGGATGGCTGTAAAATGTGAGTAGTATGAGGAGATAGCGCATAAAGAAGTATGTTGTGCTCATAGCAATAGTTGACACTAGGATAGTTGATATGACTTTTATGACCGTTCAGAATTAACAAAACAGAGTGTGCAGGTGGAATTGAACTAACAAAATGTTCAATGTATTTTTGAAACAGGCTCTCTCGCATGTATCCCGTTTCAGTGAACCCCATGACAGAGCCAACAGGTGCGCCATTCAGAAGACCTGGGATTACTCGTTTGCCTTTAAAATAATCAATGGTGGGATGTATGTTCCGGCTGCTGAAATGGTTAGGCATATAGAAATGTGTTCATGAGAGCTGCCATGTGAAACCTGATGAACCTGACATGCTCCTTTCTTTGCTATAACTTTTTGGAGCCTCGGTTCGATGACAAAACCCGTTTCATCCTAAAAAAAAAAAATTGAAAAAAAATAAAATAAATAATAATAATAAAAAAAAAAAAAAGAAAAAGGTTATAGCAAGAAAAAAAAGAAAAGTAAAATAAAGGCCGCAGCAAGTAAAAATGAAAAAGAAAAAAAAAAAAAAAAAAAAAGGAAAAGAAAGACAGCACCATATTCCAAATTCGGTCAGCAGAAAGTGAGTATTCTTGGATGATTTTCTGAAGTTTCTCAAAGTGATCTTTAATGATAATAGGGTTTGCCCTTTGTGTATGGGCTTCATTTAGGGCTTGTAGAACACGAAATGAAAGTTCCGGATGATCTTTCATAAAGCGCTGCCACCATTTTTTGCCCTGGTCCATTTTCATCAAAAGGATAGGGCCTTTCGTCTTGACGAATGATATCCATAACATACTGGTTCACACCAGATTTTGTTAACCCAAAGCCGAGCTTCTGCATGTTCAAGCAGTAACCTACAAGCTGTTTTTCCTCATGGTTAGTTAAGATTTTGGCACAGCCCGGACGAGTGAAAGGACCATCATTTTTGATGGCATGTCGAAGGGTGGTTTCAGGAAGACCATAATCTCGCGCGATACTTCTGGTGCTTGGAGCTAAGTCACTTGGTGAGTTTTTAATTGCCTTAAGGGCATTATTGATGGCATTATGTCGGGTAGTATAGTCACTATACTTTGGCATTGTTTTATGTTAAGACTTTTGGGAATACAATAAACGATTTCAAATGTTTTTATTTTTTACTTGCATAACAGTATTAACGTTTAACTATTTATTGTTATGATGCATGGCCTTTTATATTACTTATGAGATTATATGTGATGTCATAAATATTTACGATCAATCGTTTATTTTTTGGGCCAAATAAATTTTAAAACACATGGGGGTTTTTTTTTATTTTACACGAAGCGTGCTTTTACTTTAATTATGCTTTATTATCTTACGCGCATCGTGTTTGTGACATTTTGTATACATTTTAATGAGACCAACATGCTACGAGATTAAATAGGTCTTAAAAGTTACCCGAATTGGATTCGAAGGGACAATTAAATGTGCCCAAGTATGCAATTGAATGTACTCAAGTATGCAATCTTAATAATGCGCAAATTAATTACAAATACCCTATTAATGGGTAATTAAAATATAAAAATATGTAGGATTTATCGACACTAACAATTCGAATTAATGTAGCAAGTTTTACAAATCGGTCTTTAAGATGTTGATACATTTTCTTGTTAGGATTTTAAAGAAAGTGACTTTACACGAACGACGATATCTCGTGATCCACTGACTGGAATCACGTGGTTTCGGTACCGTTCGATTCGTCTCATCGAGACGAATTTAATGGTACCAAAATCGCGCGATTCCAATCAATGGATCATGAGATATTGTAAATGCGCCAAATTAGGCACTGCGCCAAATTAGGCATACTCACCTGATTATTTAATTTGTATTTTTTAATTTGTTTTTTAGTATATTTTTTTTAATTTATGTTTTTTTAGTTTTTGTTTTTTGGTTTATAGTTTTTTTAGTTTATATTTTTTGTTTATAGATTTTTTAGTTTGTTTTTTTAATTTGTATTTTTTTATTTATGTTTTTTTGATTTATATTTTTTTGGTTTGTATTTTTTTAGTTTGTATTTTTTTTAGTATTATTTTTAGATTATATTTTTTAATTTGTATATTTTTTTATTGTGTTTTTTGTTTTTTTTTATTTGTTTTTTTAGTTTGTGTTATTTTTAATTTGTATTTTATATTTTAATTTTTTGTTTTTTTTTTATTTTTTTTTATTTTTTTGTTTGTTTTTTTTGTTTATATTTTTTTGTTTGTGGTTTTGTTTAGCTTATTTGTTTATGATTTTTTTAATTTTATTTTTTTGTTTATAATTTTTGTTGTTTTATTTTTTATTTTTTTATATATTTTATTGTTTTATTTTTTTATTTATATTTAATTTATATTATTTTAGTTTTTTTTTAGTTTATATTTTTGATTTATACTTATTTATTTAATTTTTTAATTGTTTTTTTATATTTTTTTTTAATTTGTTTTTTTTTTAATTTTTAATTTTATTAACTTGTTTTTAATTTATAGTATTTTTTAATATATATTTTTATTTGTATTTAATATTATTTTTCTGTATTTTATTATTATTTTTTAGATTTTTTAATTTTTTAATTTTTATTTAGTTTTATTTTTTATTTTTATTTTTTAATTTTTTAATTTTTAATTCTTTTAATTTATTTATTTTTTATAAATATTTTTTATTTTTTATAATTTTATTTTTTGTTTTATTTTTTAGATTTTTATTTGTTTTGTCTTTTATTTTTATTTGAATTTTTTGAATTTTTTAAATTTGTAATTTTTTAATGCTTTTAAGTTTTTAATTTTTTAATGTTGAATAAATATAGGTGTAGCCGATAGCTACATGTAGCCTGTGTAATGTAAGAGTAATAGTAAGTTGTACAATCATTAGTGTAATGTATAATGTGCATATGCATATAAAAAAAAA